CGAATGGCTTCATCGGCTCTCGATGCAATACGTTTTAACTTATTTAAATTTTTAGCCGTTTCTCCAAGGATACGACGATTACTCGCCTTCTAAAAACAAGGATAAGTTAGAACTAAAAATACGTAAAAAATACTTTACAGTTGTTCGGCAGTTCACGTATCGGCGAGTATCGAGCGACCATGCTTCATAGTTCTGCTCGCAGTTCTTAAACGCTGCTTGCTTTCCTCTTAAACGGATAAGCAAACCGTTTAAACGTTTTCCCTAGAGCGTTAAACGGATGAGCAAACCGTTTAAACGTTTTCACGAATGCATGAAACGGATGCAATTTTTTTTAAACGGATAAGCAAACCGTTTAAACGTTTTCGTTAAAGCATTAAACGGATGCAACTTTGTTTAAACGGATAAGCAAACCGTTTAAACGCTTGCATGAACCTATTAAACGGATTTAAACGGATAGTAAACGGTTTCACCATTTAAACGGAAAAGCGTTAGTGTCCGTTTTCCCAAAGAGGGTCACATATTTTCATTTCATTCGGCAATGATGTCGTGAAACAGTACACGTAAATCACTATAGTGTAAAACTGCAACACAGTTCGCCAAAAAAAGGCTTTCATCTAACCGCTGTCTGACACTTACCGGGGCTTTCTCCTGCTCTACGTCCATTTTTTTTAAAGTTAGCGCCTCTCTGAGACGGTTTAACAAGAGTCTTCCGAGCTGATGTTCATGTTTAGAGCAAAATTTGCGACACAAAATCCTGAAATTGCGGCTCATTCATTTGCACGCTCCGCCATGTTTGATATTTCTCTCCCCAGTCTCTTTTGTGAGAGACTTTTGAAAACGAGGCTAGTCACCCGCGTTTGTGGCGGGAAAAAAAGACAGCTGCTTTTATTTTTTTCTGGGCTTGTTTCTCTCTACTTTATAAACTTTATAAAGCTTGTTAAAAGGGCCTTTTTTCACATATTGAAGTTTAAGGTGACTTAGAGTTCATTCAGATTTGAGGTGAGTTTCAATTCAGCTTTTCGGCATAACAGTAGCTCTTGAAGTTTTGGCGCCAACGGTAGTAATTTGCCGTGCGGTTTGCAGAACTGACTTACATGGTTTTTACTAGCTACGAAATTGTTTAAAATTAATAAGTTATGTGTACTTCAGCTCATCTCTCAGTAATTTCTCTAAACCTTTTGCTTGTTCTTACGTACATCGGGCATCGGCGGACCCGGCTATCTCGGAACCTGGAACAGGCTATCTAAAACTGGGCCCGCATGATCAAGAGAAGAAAGAAACTATGAAAAACCAAACGGCAAAGGTCTCTTTAAGCGAAACCTTGACGCCCACCAGGCTGAAACCTGACATAACGAGCTCGAGTAAAACCAAAATTTCACAGAACAAGTCAGCTGTTTCTCCTATATTTCAAACTGGCGCCTAATTTTTAATAATACTCTCTTAACTTTACGATAGAAAACGTCGCAGAAAAATATTCAGCGAAAATAAGAGCGGTTCCCTCTCCACCCTCCACAATTTCTCCCCAACTTTTTTTTCTCCAGGCCTATTTTTCAGATTTTTCCTTGCGCTTTACTATTTAATAGGTTATTCTAGGCTAGTTATCCGTATTCCAGCCTTTTTGTGATGCGGGCATAAAACACTGAAGGAACGTCCAAGTAAGCCTACTGTCAGGCACTCAAAGGGGAAAGTAACCGTGACTCTTAAGGCTTTCTTTTTTGCAATCTAGTTTTACCCTCACTTAAACCAAGTCCCATTTTATCCTTTAAATTTTGTAATGAAAGGTAAATTTCTTATATTTTTCAGACCCACAAGACTTCAGCTACAGCTTCATAGTTTATCATGTACAACCCTTCTTCACATCCTGATATGTTGCTTTTGTAAAAATGTTGGGAAGCATTATTTCCCTTGAAAGTTTTATTGAGCTTTGCAACCACTCTGCCACTGACCTACACTCATTGTTAGTTAAGATAACTAGCCACTCTGCCGTTCAGGGAATCAATGGACTCGACCTCTTTGGAGAGATATTATTCAATAATCTTGCTTTTGTCATACTNGGGGAAAGTAACCGTGACTCTTAAGGCTTTCTTTTTTGCAATCTAGTTTTACCCTCACTTAAAGCAAGTCCCATTTTATCCTTTAAATTTTGTAATGAAAGGTAAATTTCTTATATTTTTCAGACCCACAAGACTTCAGCTACAGCTTCATAGTTTATCATGTACAACCCTTCTTCACATCCTGATATGTTGCTTTTGTAAAAATGTTGGGAAGCATTATTTCCCTTGAAAGTTTTATTGAGCTTTGCAACCACTCTGCCACTGACCTACACTCATTGTTAGTTAAGATAACTAGCCACTCTGCCGTTCAGGGAATCAATGGACTCGACCTCTTTGGAGAGATATTATTCAATAATCTTGCTTTTGTCATACTAACCAAATGGAAGCCTCTTCTGTTCATATCCACAATGGCCTTCTGCTCCTTCAGGCTATTACAAAAGACATGTATGTGGAATTTGTTGTAATGTAATAAGAAATATTTCGTTGAAAAGATTGGAAGTGCTTTGACTAAAAAATGTTGTCATTTTTAGATATTTTTTTACGTCCTTTGGTTCAACCATCCATTCTATTTATTTCTTTATTTCAATTTGTAGCGAAATTTTAATAAGGTATACAATTCGTTCTGCAAACAGCCTGGAAGAGGCGTTGCCTAGTCCCTAGGCCTCATTATTCCGAGCGGCCAAAGCGTTTCAGGTCACGTGGTCCAAGCGAAAATGCGAGTTTCCCGCCCGTTCGCCTCGGTATGTTACCGAGGTGAATTGACCGAGAGGGACTGCAGTATATACAGGGACTAGGGAAAAAATGGCGAGTACGATATAGTGAGCAGTTTAATTGTTTTAAAATACTTTTTTTTCAGTTAAAAAGGTGGAGGTCCGGCCTGTCAAACGTGCTTTCTCCTTGTCCAGGTTGTTTAAAATGGTTAAGGTATGGGTGAATACATAATGATTATAGGTCATTTTCACCATGACGATATTTTCATGACTACAACTTGAACCACCATAATTCAATAAGTTTTTGCTGTCTTATTTAACTTTGCCGGTGAATCCCATTGAGGTTTAAAAAACAAAAACGTTAATTTACACAAGAAAACAACAAACTGAAGCATTCTGGTAGTCGAAGTAAAATTACATCTTTATAATTGCACAAACCAGTCAGCAAAACCTACAGACCTAAAAATGATATTTTTTGGCTTTTGTAACGTTTAGTTTTGCTTTTTGATACCTTATCCTTCGAATGCGCTCGTAGACATGTCAGACATATGGTGGAGATTCTATTTTCGCGGGAAAAAGTGCCCTAAAATGTGTCTAAAAATAAAATGGTTCGTAAACCCGCCGTGACATAGGCTTAGTATGGAATTTGCTCGCTCCGGATTATGGACTCCTGACAGGATCGGATGTTTCCATTTTCTTCCGATTGGAACTGCTTATGACCCCGTCCCTCACATGCAATCTGATGAAAACTACCCTTGAGTGTGGGAAGCAGAAGCTGAAGGACAAAATAATCAAAATGTTCGTTTCACGCCTTGTGATTGGTTTAGAGTTTCCTCTTCTACTTGTTACAGACCCCGACAACGAAATTCTCACTAAATCGTAAGTGAGGGAGTCTTAAGCGGAATCCCAACACTGTTTTTACAAACAATACGACGCAGTCTTCGCTTCTGATTACGACTAGTGAAAACCAGCCTTATGTAAGATATACAAAACGAAAAACAAAAATGTGAAAAAAACGAAAAGTGGTGATATATGGGTTCAAAAGTTGTAATGTTGTCTGTACAAGAAGAAAGAAAGAAATACACTCACACTGGGAACCCCGAAAATGTGTCTTAAAACCTGCAGAAGTATAACAATGACCCATGACGTTTATGTAAGGATCCTTATCGTCACTGTCATTCTTGCTACAGAACGCCCATTCGCCTGGTGTTACCGAAGATATCATATCCCTTATCGAAAAGCACAATATTGATGTAAATAGCAAACATCCAAAATCAGAGTCTGGATTAAGTTTGTTTCTGGTAAGTGAAAATTTTCAGTGTATTGCTCATCAAACCTTCAGTGCTATATTTTGCAATTAAAGAGTAAGCGTTACTTTTCACAGTAAAATTACATTCCAGGTTTAACCTGCTAGTACAATTTTGCCACAAAATCTTAGAATCGATAGTACCAGAAATAAGTACAAACTGAATAAGATGCAAAACAAACGGCTAACGAAAGACTTCACTACCGAGGGTTAGGAAGATCTGCATGTGTCCCAATCGGTTAAAAGTATCAACGGGAACTAACCTGGCTTTATCATTGAATCTTTAGTGTGCTTGTTTAAGCGGGGACAGCAGTCTCGTAACATATATGTTAAGTAAAGGTAAGTAAATTCACCCATTACACTTAACTAAAACGCGCTTTATTTGCGTGTCGATGTATTTATGCACTAAAGTACTAATTGAGGACTATTTTTACTCCTGATAGTTCGAGCCACGTTTAATCTAGCCCTTCGCATGGGCAAAGGTGGAACCTTCATTTCTCGGTTACTTTTAAGAGAGTATTAGTCTAGGCTCGGGAATCGAGCCTCTCACTGTAAACCCTCCTGATACTTATCATGGGTATAAGGGCAAGAATAACCTGTGGAAGGCACAATAAAATAATATTTGACATTTCATAAGTACAAAATCTTATGTCTGATAGGTGCAGATATCAATTCTAACACCACTTGTAAAGACGGTGCTCTTCATCTTGCAAGCTTCTGCTGTGCCAAGCAAAATCTCAAGAATGGTCTTGGTATAATTACCTCCCTGTATCAAGCAGGTATATTGTTAAGAAATCATCATAATAAGCCACCTCCGAGTTTCAAAAACCCTCACTTTCAAAATGAGGCCAAGTGCACAACCTTTCTTGCGAAAATAAGTTTTATTTACATTGGAATGAGAAATAATTTCCATATCAAGGGCTTAGCAGTTAACCTCGTCTTGATAAAGAGGCCCTGGGGAATTGGCCTATTTAAATTTAAACTAATCTCTATTAAACTGACTTTGACGCTTTCTGTAGAACTGAGCCAAGAAGTGAAAATTTTTTAAAAAAATATTTTAAAAAAATTAATAATATATTGGTCGAATGACTATCACAGGGACCCTGCGTGGCTTTGTATTTGTATTTGTTCGGATATCGTAAAAGGAGATTTCAACAGCCTACCCGCGGCCTCTCCTAAGGGCATTGGGTGTTGGTAGTAATTGTATCTTTCTCGGTGTTTTTTGATACTAATGCAAATTTACTATAAAAAGAAAAACCCCGACGAATAAGAGTGTTGACTTATTTTTACTCTATTTATTTGCTCGCTGCAGATGCTAAATATGTTTTTTCCTTTGAACATCGCTAGGTTGCAACATCAATTCAAAAAACTGGCTTGGTAATACTCCATTATGCATTGCTGCTTCATCTGGAAACTGCGACCTTATCCAACACTTAATATCTCTAGGTATGCAGTGAGTTTAAACCTTGCAATAACTTTGTTAAAATTTTGCCGTACCAAGTGCTTCAAAATCGATTACTTCAGCTTCGGTTGGGGTGTAAAATCCTGATTTTTCTTTCAAAAATTTTTAAAAAATCGAGCATCAAGAAATATTATAAGTCGAGTACAAAAGCAAAACCTTTCAGCCGTTGTGAAATATTATATGCTGCAAAAGGGCGGAAATATATATAGAATCTTAATTTTGTTACAAAAATCTACTGCTTCTTTCCACGTCAACTAGAACATGTAGAAAGAGTGATAACTCGTTATTTTCTTTTGGAACCCACCAATAGGTGGAGATAAAAGCGTTTGCAATAATGACGGAATCTACGCAATGGACTTTGCTACGAATGCTGGTAAGGAGAAGTACAAAGGAAAATAATGTATACTGTTACCGATCGATCTCTAATCTGCCTGCTAAGAAAGCTCAGGTACTGTTGATAGCGGAAGCAATTTGCTGTTGCACCTGTTCTGTACTCTCTGTAAGTATCTGATATCACACTGAAATGCTAGGAAAGCAGAGCCTTGAAGAGCGTCGGTAATCAGTATTTCACAATTAGAGGTACATAGGCCAACATGCTGTTTCCTTGGCTTAGCAACTTCTTGTATGATTACTTTGACACCAAGTTTACATCCATGCACAGGTCACCTAGACGCGGCAAAGTTGTTAGCTATTGACGTCCCGAACCCACATGTATGGGACATTGTAGACCCTCATACTCCTCCACGAGTTAAACTCGGTCTCCAAAGTCCTTCGAAACAGCATTTGGTGTATTCATCCTTCAGGAAGAGACGTCTGGATTTCTGCAGTCTTGTTAAGTAGCAAGCATGCCGTATACGTTGTCTCACAGTTTGCAACGAAGAAACTGAATGAACGCGGGATGTTGTCCACCACAAAATTTATAAGGCATAATTAACGCATTATTTCGAAGACGAAGGATAATACAGCTTGAAATCTTCCCAGAAAAACACTTCTTGGCGCCCTTTATTTTTTAATTTCCTAAGCGCGTTGAAAGAAGTAATTTGTAATTTTTTTCTTGGGCGGTGGACCGTTTAGCCAAACGTTTGTGATGTGGTTAACGAGTGATGTCGTTTAGATAAATGAATGATTGAATAAACGACTTTGATTTCTGGTTTTACTGAATGCGTATGTTAAAAAGGTAAGAAAAAAGGATCACATATTTTCGCCTTAAGTAACTGTTATTATTTAATGAAAATACAAAATATGAATATTATTTTTGCCTATTGAAGGATCATTTTTCTTATGCCTTGTCCTCTTCCGATTCTAAAGCAATTGTTCGATAGTCGTATTTAGTTTTGTACTTATCAAATTTAACAGGAAGTCTTTTGCCGCAGACATGTTTCTTTAACCATTATTGCTTCCCAACAGTGCATTAATGTCAATAATGTGTGCCTCATTTTGCCGCCGTTCATATCAAAATACTGCCTATCTTACTTGAGAAGCAGAGTTTAATGAGATACACGAAGATTTCTACAGTCTCTAACCCAAGCTACTTTTGAACAAAACAAACAAGCAAACAAGACATCTCCACGAGCATTCTCTTTTCTACACGCACGAGGTTTTCTACACATCATCATCATCATCATCATCATTTATTAGCGGAGCTCCACCCGCGCGCGAAGCGCGCGCGTGGGCGGAGCCCCATAGCTAAGGAAATGTGGTAATCTACCCATCCCAGAAAATTTGGTAATCACGTGACCGTACACCGAGCGAGCGAGCGATCGAGCGAGCGACCGTCCGTCCGCACCACAGGCATACCAATGTAAAATAACTCAATCAACAGGTATGGGAAGCCAAATGCAACTCAAGGATTTATTTGGAAGGAAATCACATGGCCGCCCGGACTTTTAGAAAGAAAAAAGTCGTGTCTTTTTCGGCGTTATTTTTTATGTGTACACTAACGTGGATAACAGAGAAAGAGCTAGAGCGAGTTATTGAAAATTCGTAGGAAGAAAAACATGGAAATTCAAAGCGGCGGTGAGAAAATGAGAAATGCTAGCGGCCAGCAAGGTGAAAATGAGCGGCAGTGAAAAATAAAAGCGTACATGAACACTGGAAACAAAATATTGGGTAAGCACATACGACAATTTCTCCATAAAAATAGTGTGTAACTAGGAAGTTTGACGTTTTAGTCGTACAAAACAGCGTTGTAGTCGTGCAAAACAACGGCAAGGGAAAGACAAAAAAGCGTGCTGCACGTGCAAATTTGTTTTTTGCTAATTAGAAGAAAAAGTGTGCTGCACGTGCAATTTGTTTTTTTGCTAATTAGATCTATTAGTCTTGAAGCCATTTTCATTGTCGTCCCCCTTTTAGCATAACAAGATTTAATTTTTTTTAGTTTACACGTATTATTAACCAGAGCTTCGCTTTTAGCCCTGGCTAAATCTATATATTAGCCTTTTTTTTTTACCGCAAATTTAACAGGATACAGCAGGTTGTTATGCGAGGAGACCTCCAGAAACCACCAGGCTTATAAAGAGAGGCCACCTCGACATCACAATATTATAAGAAATAAGGGCTGCGAAGAAGTGCGGCTAAACTAATTTAAAACCATTTTAATAAAAACTCTAGCACTTTGTTCTTAAAGACAGAAAAGCTTGACAAGTTTGTAACAGATGCAGGAAGACAGTTCCAGATTCTAGGTCCTTGGTAAAGAATTGTGAAATTTGTTAATGCGAAATAAACCGTCACCTATATACTTTTCTTTTCCGTTTGAGAGCCATGTCTTGGTATCATACTGAATCACATTCACTGATGATGTGTAATGACGTATCAACGATGATGTTTAAATTCCTTAGTTGACTGGCGGCCTTTTTGATTCTGCACCGGGGCCTTAAAATATTCATTGTTAGAGCCAAGCAGATCAGTTAGACATCATAGGAAATCTTCACCTCTCTCTGATCGCTTGAAGATGAGTTTGCTTAAGCTACGCCATTCATTCCTCAAGGATAATCACAATCCCTTGATCTCTTCACTCCAACAAAAAACGAAAGGATAGGACTAGTGCGCTCGAAAGGTCAGCTTTTAAATATCTCGAAAATAAAATTTACGTTTAACCCAGTCGATAAAACCATTTTTTGTCGGAAGCTAGGTTGACTATGCGGCCAGTTCCTGATTTTTCGTACGTTGTTCCAGACACCGATTGCTAAAGACGAGTATATTTTAATAATGGTGAAGACAGGTTTCGTTTCTCACTGGAGACTCTCCTGCTTAATCTTTCCGGACCACCCTATATTAGTTTATCTTTCAGCAAAAAATATCAACAGTTTTCAGTACATCTTCGATCGATTAAAGTAATATACTCCCACATCACCATCATGACAATCGGTTTCGGAAAATTCAGTACTTCTCCCAAAGAAGTGATGAAAACAGTTTAGGAAAGGCCATCCCTCTTATTTTCAGCCGGGCACTGCGTTACCATACAATTACACTATCCTTTGTTCAGTAGTTTTAACCTTGTTGGAAGTAGTAATACTCTTAGTGGAATGTCAGTGCGAGACCGGATTCATGTTTTTTATTTATTTATTTTATTTTTATTATATTTATTTCTGTCTTTGGAATTGCATCAGTTGTTTTTATACATTATTATGATTGTGTCATTCATTGACAGAAACAAAGCTCATCTAATTTTTCTTGGGAAAATCGAGATAGAATCCGCAGTAACCTTTGAGTGAGAGTACGTGCTAATTAACTCGGCGAGACTCTCGAGTTTGTAATACCGCTTCCTTTCGTCCCCCAAAATAGAAAACATTCAGCGAATCATAAGTGGGCTTATCTTAATCCGGTTTTGATTGTAAAAATGGCAAAGATTAGGCCACACTTGCTATCTAAAAAGAAAACCGGCTAAGGCATTGCGATTTGTTTAAATTTGAGTCCTATGCCCAGTGATCATGAGTTAAGGACAGAGGTCTCCAACTGCAATAAACCTATAAAGAGCTTCATTTTTAGATCATTTGGCAGCTTTTAGTTACACTAGAACATGCCAGATTCTTGCTAAATCCCTGATAAAAATGGAATAAAAAAACATAATAAAACAAATAAAAAACAAATGTAAGCAAACTGTGCGCTTGGTCTCTAACGCAAGGTATTAGTTTCATTACAGGCAGACAAAGCAACTATGACCACTTACAACCGGAACCCACAGCAGCTATTGATAATACATCTGCAACCTATTCTTAATGAACTCCACCCGAACGCGAGAATTTCGTGGAAACGGAAATTTAGGTGCTTTTGCTCAGTAAATTTTAGACGGGAAGATTAGCTCAAGTTTTAATTCATTCAATGCTTGTTAAAGCGAAGTTAAGTGTAACTCTAGTAAGTCTAACTATTCGAGATGGCAAATGTATCTTGCTACGTGCTCAAGAAGAAATGTATCCCGCCCTCCAAATCTGTCGTTTACGGAAAACGCCTTATGTTTATAGAGCAAAGTATTTAAAGAATGATGAAAGCTGACGTTACGTGTCGTGGACAAATCCAATTTAATCTTAGTATTCGAACTGTAATAGGCTTACAGTCGCCTCAAACCATATTTTCCAAAAGAGAAGCGTGTAAAGCCATGAGCACGGCCCACTGCAAGTAAATATTAGCCGGACCAGCTGTTAAGCTGTCACTTCCGCAAAGCGTGCATGTTTTTGCCTACATCAAAATTACTCTTACTTCATCAAGTTTAAGACCTATTAAGTGCGGAAGGAGAGATTTGTAATCGTTCAACAATCTCTAACTACTAGTGTTAGAGTATTTTTGAAAAAACATTCGCCGCTGTAACCATAAAAAAAATGAGAGTATCGTGGGAAGTTTAGAACAAGCAAATAAACTTATTCGAAATCTTGTATAATCTACAGTCACCTTTCATCCTTTTAAAGGGCGGTTTCTTAAGCATACACATGGGCTGCCCTAAGGCACAGGAAGAAAAACAAACAACCTTCTGCCGCACCCTTGTTGTTTTTCAAAATCTACTCCTTCTCTTTTCCCAGAGTAGAAAGTGCTATTCAGTTTTGCTACCACAGAATGGTTTCTTGACCTATTAAACCCAATACTTCCAGTCAAACGTTAAGTTCCAGTTCCAGTTAGTTCGTCGAACGAGGAAACCTTGATGATGATATTGTAAGTCAAGAACTAAGGGCCCGAAATGACCAAGATCCGTCCGCAGATTGGCATTTACATAAAGACTTCAAGTTGTCTCTAGAATTCACTGTTGCGGACCGATGTGAATAATGATTTTATATGTAAATCGTGTCGACTCCCATCTTTTATAGTTTGTTACTTCTAGAAACCGCTTTTATATTCCCAGTGTTCTGATTGGCTGCACGCAGCTTTCGTGTCAGTAGGTCATTCAAACTCTCCGCCTGATTAATATATGTGTGAACACACGAAAGACCGTAAGCTTCTTTTTATAAAATCCTTGCTTCAGTGCGCATCTGCATTAATTTCGCAACATCGAAGCACTAAACACAGACAGACTCACTCCTGACACTCCTTCGGTCGTTGTAAAATCCAATGACATTTTCAAGACATGGAGCGAAAAGTTTGCCTTCTGTTCCTGCTTATCAACTTAGTCCTGGCTATGAACATACCAGGTGAGCTATTCTTGACGTAACCGATGTTAGTTTACTGTGGGTTTATCACATTAACATCAATTGAGTTAAAAGACTGCTTTTTATTCATACAGTGCCACGAGTTGCACACCTCGTTAGTGACTGTTTCGTGACCAGAATAATCCCTTGTTTTTCTTTTCTCAAGTTCGTGAGTTTGATAACCAAAATTAGAACCTTATACTCTCAGACTGATTCAACTTGTCTATT